ACTCCAATTCTACTTTAAGTGGTTGACTTTTAAGTAGCATGATAAACTATTCAGTCAGACCAAACTGCTACAAGGTGAAGACCTACCTTTTTTCAGGGCAACTAGGCAATGAATATCAGTCTTGTTAGCATAAATTATTTAAAATGTGATTTGAATGAATGGATTTTGCTTCAAGCAAAAATAGCACAGACCTTTTTTTTAGCAAAAGTCACAATGCATGATGGTTTCAAAGGAACCTTTGCCTTTCTTCTGAAACAGTATTGAACTTGACATTTCTCAACACATTTGCATTTGTGGGTGCAGCAATGATTTTCTCTGTGTTTCTTTTGTAACAAAATTGAACTTGCAAAAATAAAGGATATGATTTCCCCTCACCGAACAGAGAAAATCTTTCTCTTATGTCTTCAAATGGTCATAATGGCATATCACTATTGTAAAGATCTTCAGACTGTTCTGTGCCAGAATTGTACTGAGGAATTCTGAAGGTCACACCTCTTCAGGTCCTGACTTAATAAATTGTGACTCACTGCAGAAAGTTGAGATTGGATGATTTATGGGATTTGTGATTTTACAAACCCATAGTTCTAGAAATTTGTAATGTACCAGCTTTTGAATGATTCTGATGGTTTAGACTATGTGGGCTGAAATTTCAAAGTGTGAATCAAGTGTTCTGTATAAAACAATTAGGTTTATTTCAACAGGCAACAAAAGTAAAGTCTCTTTGCATTTTTTTAAAAATTAGCAAGAAATTCAATGGAGGTCACTCAGGAACAATTATTTTAACTGTTCAATTGCTGAATGATTTTGTAACTTGAATGAATGCTTTTGCAGGCTCATATATAAGTATTTTCAGATTCTGTTATCTCAGGGGACTGTGACTTGAGGGAAGCACAATGCCAAAAATCATTTATGTTGTATAGCTCTGTTTTATATTTCCTGTCATGATAAATTGTTAGCCGTAAACTCATCAACTGTGCAGTCAGGTGAGAATAATTTATATGGTGTGTTGATCAAGATCCAAGGACCCAGGCATTGGAGAAGGAATGTATGGAGTGCCCAATTCATTGTTCCGGTCCCTTGCAACAAGCTACTCAAATATACCTTTATTAATTCATGATTGTAGCTAGTGTGATATGGTAAAATTTGTATAAATTTTGACCACATCACACTGACCTCAGGAAAAGAGCAGACACCAGTCTGGAATTCGCATGTGAAGAGAGAGGTCTTTGACATTATACTAGACAGTTGTGTTTGAGAGCTGACTACGTACAACTATAAATCAAGGGAGGTTAATGGTACATAAGAAGTTGAAAAGTCTTATTTTGATTTATGGGGGCAAGTAACTTCAGAGGCAGTGCATGTGTAGACAGTCACAGCCTGAGATACACCAGACTGCTAATTCAATGTGCAGGTTGCAAGAGACATAGTTCAAAAGGGAAGACTCCAAAGGCAGGCCAAGACTTAAGAAGGCTTTAAGAGAAAAAGGACTGGAGAAAACTTCAAAGACTGAAAAAAGAAAACGCTCACCCAGGTTAGGCATGATAGTCCATAAGCTTCAATCTGAAAGGGAAGATGTTTTTCATCCTCGTTAACTCTTGCTCCAAATGGATGGAAGTTGCAAGATCTCATTCAACAGTAGCAGATTCAGTGATCAGACCACTAGAAATTATCTTTATGATACTTGACTTCTGAGTTCTTGATATAACTTCATCAGTGCGTCTTTTGAGAATGACAAGCAGAAGAAATTTATGGTTCGACAACAATGAAGACATGAAACTGCATATCCCAACTGTTACATACCTTGTTCACAGTGCTAGGTTGGATCAAGCTCAGGTGGAGTTGAAAAAGTTGTGTTTGAGTGTTACCCACTGACTGTAGTCGAAAGATGTGATTTGATGCTGTCCCAAGTTAACCATTGGCTTCCTTACCTTCCTCAACAAGTCAACAAATATTGATTAGTATTAATGTGTACTACTCTAACAGCATTGTCAAAGAACAAAGAACAACACAGCACAGGAACAGGCCTTTCAGCACTCCAAGCCCGCACTGACACATTTTGCCCTCCATACTAAACTGTCTTCACTTACAGGATCCATATCTCTCTATTCCCTTCCTATTCCATGTATTCTCCCAGTTGCTTCTTGAGTACTGCTGTTGTTCCTGCTTTCACCATCTCCTCTGTCAACGTGTTGCCGGCACTCAACACCCTTTACATGAAAACTTTGCCTCGCACATCTCTTTTAACCTTGCCCCTTGCACCTTGAACCTGTATCCCCTATTAATTGATATCTCCACCCTTGGAAAAAGTCTCATACTTTCCACTCTATCCATGCCATTCACAATCTAATAAACTTCTGTTAGGTTGTCCCTCAACCTCCTGTATTCCAATGAAAACAAACCCAACCTTTCTTCATACCAGGCAACATCCTGGTAAACCTTTTTGGTACCCTCTTCAAAGCATCCACATCCTTCTAATAGTGTGGTGACCAAAACTGTATGCAATATTCCAAGTGTAGTCTAACTAAAGTTCTTTAAGTTGCAGCATAACTTGTCTATCCTTATGCTCAATGCCCCTGGAAAGCATGCCACAAGCCTTTTTTACTACCTTATCTACATACACTGCCACCTTCAGTGATCTGTGGATCTGCATGCCCAAATCCCTCTGCATATCAATAATCCTAAGGGTTCTGCCATTCACTGTATAATTTCCACCTGTAATTGACCTTCCAAAATGCATCACCTCACATTTGTCCAGATTAAACTCCATCTGCCATTTTTCTGCCCATGTCTCCAACTGATTTATATCCTGCTGTATCCTCTGACAGTCCTCATCACTAGCCACAACTCCACCAATCTCAGTATGGTCCAAAAACTTACCAATAAGACCAGTTACATTTTCCTCCAAATCATTTATATAGATCACAAACAGCAGAGGTCCCAGCACTGATCCCTGTGGAACACCACGAGTCACAGCTCTCCATTCCAAAAAGCATCCTTCCACCGCTACCCTCTGTCTCCTATGACGAAGTAGAGTTCTGTAACCATCTTGCCAGCTCACCCTGATACCATGTGACTTCACCTTTTGTACTAGCTTGCCACGAGGGACCTTGCCAAAGGCTTTTTCTGAAGCCCATGTTGACAACATCAAGTGCTTTTTCCCCATCAATTGCCTTCAAAAAACTCAATCAAGTTAGTGAGGCACAACCTCCCCATTCCCTTTAATGAGTCCTAAATGTGTTTCTGAAGCCTGAGTTTAGTGAAAGCATTAAGGTTATTCACCCTTTGATGTTATTGTAACCACAACCATCAATTAAGCTACTACTGATTGACAAAGCAGACAAATGCAATGTCACAAATTCTGTTCAGACTTTATTTTTGAACTGCTATTGTGGTTCACTCAAATCTGTAAGGTACCAATACCGTGATATAGGCTTTTAGCTAAACTATTTTAATTTTAATGAATCTTCCCTCGGAAAGACATGTATCTCAGCCTCTTAGGTTATGCACAAAGCTTCAGTAGAAAGTTGCCACCCTATACCTGTCTAACCTGCAATAAAAAAGTGCTGATACAATAAAATAAAAACCAATGAGATATTCAGCTCTGAGCTGAACTAGGTTGCAAGCTCATTATAACTCCCCTATGGTTACAATACTCTCAGAAGAACTAAGAAAGCCAAAGGAAATCTATACCTACTGGCTAAACAACAGCCAGAAGACTGACTACTCGTATTGACTTTTTTTCTGGGTCATTTAGATTTTAATGGTGGAACAATACTGAATTGTTATGTATTTTGCTGTCAACTTGACTAAATGCTTAACCCACTTTCTTTTACTGCTTTTGGAGGGCTTAGGGAAAAAAGCATCATAAATTATTTCCTTATCTGTACATTCTACCTGTATATGGGACCATATAAACACTTTGGCAGGATCTTAGAATGGAAATTCTGAAGTGCTGTTAGTTTAGTAGAAAAATTACTACGATAAAATATAACAATTTATGTTAAAATATCAGTTTTAGAATAAGGTATGCAAAGGAAGCATATTGTTAGTGAACTGGGCAATTCAAATTGAGTTCAGGCAATTCACAAATGAGTCTAAGATTAAGCTCTGCAAATAAACACTTCAGCTCAGCAGAAAGTCTACTTCAAGTCCAGTTGTTTATCCATTAGATGTTAGTATACTGTCCCACTCACTATTATTAAGATCTTTGTGAAGCTGTGTAAATGTTGTAATGCAAATTCTCAAACAAGAGTTTTGGAATTCCGTAGTCTCTCCTGGTATTGAGTTTGAATCATCGCATTTTTTTGTCTCTATCTTCCTGAGAGATCTTATTTGGAGCTAGATTTCAGCATGGTACAAAAGTTTATTACATGAAAGAGGGATTTAATAGTGTTTATTTTGGAAATGCTCTGAAAGTGACAGTAAAAGAAAAATGTACATCTACATGTGGGACACATATTATATATATGATCATGTTAGAGATGTAAATCTGTCAGATCCAATTCGTATACAGTTGGCATATATACATGTCTTGAGCACACGATAATGTGGTGTTCAAGGCTTCCGATAATGCTAACTGTAGAGTTCTCCAGTGCTGTGATGGCTTTTTCCATTTGGGCCTATTTTGCTGATCTTGAATTTGAAGCTTCAATTTCAGAAGGTTAGATAAGCCCGATACTGCTGTCCCTTTTTACATGCCTGTAACCGACCCAGTTTTCATAAGACTCCAAGCAGTAGAGTTAGCAAAGCTGGCGGCAGTTAATAAAACCCATTAAGGCCAGAGAGCTTGCCACTATTGGTAGAACCAGGTCAGTTGATCCTATTATATTTCTTGGAACAGCTGACGTCAGAAAAATGCCGTGTGCTGACAGTTACATTTCAATCACCAAAGCACCTGAATGCTGGATTCTCCAGACTAATTGTTGGTCAACTCCTTCTGATCCACACTTACTCATGGTACTGCTTCCTAAGAGCTAACTTGTTGTGTTCATTCATTTCAGAATGAAGAACAAATTCTGGTATTTTGAATTTGGGACGTCTGAAACATTCTCTGCCACCTGTAAAAGGCTACATGAATATGTAGAGATAGAGGTAAGGTGAATGGATATTTAGATAAAGTGGTTCAAGATTAATTGTTCCTCAGTCTTTTTTTATTGTGCAAGTAGTAGGTAGAAATAGGCATTATGTAATACCCAACTGATTAGCACATCTTAATAGGATTCCTTAATTCAGAATCTGGGATATGGCATCATACTTGACGGTATGGAGGTTGAAAACGCCCTCGACTGTGTCTCTCGCATCGCCCGCAACTCATCCCTCACACCCCCTCCCCGCAACAACAACCAAAACAGAATCCCCCTCGTCCTCACGTACCACCCCACCAACCTCCGGATCCAACGCATCATCCTCCGACACTTCCGCCATCTGCAATCTGACCCCACTACCAAAGACATTTTTCCCTCCCCACCCTAACTGCTTTCCGGAGAGAACACTCTCTCCGCGACTCCCTCGTCCACTCCACACTCCCCACAAGCCCCACCACCCCCAGCACTTTTCCTTGCAACCGCAGGAAGTGCTACACCTGCCCCTACACCTCCGCCCTCACCTCCACCCAAGGCCCTAAGAAGACCTTCCGCATCAAACAGATGTTCACCTGCACATCTGCTAACGTGGTAATGTGGTATCCGCTGTTCCCGATGTGGCCTCCTCTACATCGGGGAAACCAAGCGGAGGCTTGGGGACCGCTTTGTGGAACACCTACGCTCGGTTAACACCAAACATCTGCACCTCCCAGTCACGAACCATTTCAACTCCCCCTCCCACTCCTTGGATGACATGTCCATCCTGGGCCTCCTGCAGTGCCACAACGATGCTACCCGAAGGTTGCAGGAACAACATCTCATATTTTGCTTGGGAACCCTGCAGCCCAATGGTATCAATGTGGACTTCACAAGCTTCAAAATCTCCCCTCCCCCTACCGCATCCCAAAACCAGCCCAGCTCGTCCCCGCCTCCCTAACCTGTCCTTCCTCCCACCTATCCCCTCCTCCCACCTCAAGCCCCACCCCCATCTCCTACCTACCAGCCTCATCCCGCCTCCTTTACCTGTCCGTCCTCCCTGGACTGATCTATCCCCTCCCTAACTTCCCACCTATACTCACCTTTACTGGCTCCATCCCGGCCTCTTTGACCTGTCTGTCTCCTCTTCACCTATCTGCTCCTTTATCCATCTTCCACCCACCTCCCCCTCTCTCTCTATTTATTTAAGAATCCCCTTTCCCTCCCCCATTTCTGAAGAAGGGTCCAGACCCAAAACGTCAGCTTTCTTGCTCCTCTGATGCTGCTTGGCCTGCTGTGTTCATCTAGCTCTGCACCTTGTTATCTCTATACTTGATGGTATCTCTTGTTTGGGTGCTATTGGTGCTTCACGAAAATTAATGCAGCATAGCTTCAAGCATGCAGTTCCACTACCTTTCATGCAAGAAACTACTTTGGTGAGGTGTTAATAGAGATGAAGATAGATAGATCTGGATAAGCTAGATCATGATAGCAATCAGTATGCAATACTGATTTAAACCATTGATGCTACTTTGGATTTCACTTAATTCATTACTACTTCATTTTGAACAGCTTAACATGCTTCAGCAGCAGGACAGAATCGCATCAGTATTACCAAAAGGTTCAACAATTACTTATAGCTTAGGTGCTGGTACTTGGTAAAATTCCAGAAGAATTTGATGCTTCCCATAACTCCTGCAAGTTGCAGACCTCTACAGAGCGTGTCATGTCAGGTGCTGAAGGACTTTTCATGGCAAAAAAATACTTGGCTCGGCCAGTAGATCTTGTCAATGGAATAGAGCAAGACTTGGAAGATGATCAGAAGCCATCCAGAGCAGGACAAGATATAGAAAACGGAGCAGAAGGAAGCAAAAGGGAGTTCAGAAACAGGATAGCTTATTTTTTGTCCAGGCTGCACTTGAAAACAATATCCAATATTAATAAATGCAACCCCAAATCCTTATTCAATAACACTGCCGTGTTCATTAGCTTTCTACAGTCACTGACCATAACGTTGTTGTGTTGACCACAATGCAAAAATAAAAACCACTTGAAAATAAACTTGCTAAATCATGCTGTATTGTATACAGACATCAACTAATCACTGTTATATGTTTCTTTAGTGCCTGCTTCTGTGTACCTTTCTCTGTGACCCCTGCTGCTGTGTCAGCTAATTCACAGCACAATTAGTGCTGGTTGCAAACAGCAATTCCTCAAATAAGCAGGCAGAATAATATTAGCATACTGCTTGCGCCTCAACCTATGGGCATGGGTTAAAAATTGTACGTACGGTGGTTTTCAGCTGCTAGTCAATTTAACAGGAATCCAACTTCCATCAGCCAGCTTCTGGTAATCATACTTATGAGTCCATTTGTCACAGGCCCATGACAGACGCCATGTTCCCAGGTAAAGAAATTGGACCTGCCAGTTAGTTTTTTTTATATAGTGAGCGAATTAACAATAGCCAGGTTATCCTTTCTCAGCAGAGCTGAACGCTGAGAAATTTGCTGCCATTGAGAGATGTAATCCCACCACAACCCCTGAAATCCAAAGGTGTCTCAACTCATGAATTATGCCTATTGCCCACAATTTTGTGTTGATTTTTAGGTGCAAAATGTTAGGCCTCCTAATCACAGGCGTAAGTCAGCAAAGTGGCTCGAAGTATTAATGAAAATAAATCTATCAGGCAGGACAAAGGAAAATATCAACAATAAAAATGTTCATTCTGATTTTCCTGGATCCTTTTCCCTGCCCCCGAGGCTACAGCAGCTCTTCTTCCTGACCAGTTCCCACCCTCCCTGAATTGCCCAGCTCCTCCCAGCAGCATCATCTCACCCCCACCCCCTCCCCAAAACCACCCCACCTCAGTTCCCCAAGATATGCAGCTCCTGAGTCCTAGGGATGTCAGGAACAGCTTTCAGCTGGAAGAGCAAAAACACACCAAAACCACCTGAGGTTTTCCCTCCCATTAAGTGATGTTTCTGACATTGGTTGGACTCAGGAACCAGAAAATAGGAGCAGTCAAGTGCAGAGTGGGCATATGACAGCGGCACAGTGGCTGAGTAGTTCGCACTGCTGCTTCACAGCGCCAGGGACCTGGGTTCAATTCCAACCTCAGGAAACTGTTTTTGTAGTGTTTGCACATTTTCTTCCCACAGATGAGCAGGTTAGGTGGATTGGCCATGGGAAATGCAGGGATAGGGTAGGAGGATGGGTGTGGGTGGGATGCTCTTTGGAGGGTCTGTGTGGACTCAATAGGCTGAATTGCCTGTTTCCACACTGAAGGGATTCTATGTGGAAGAGGAGAAAGGGAAACTGGGAATGCAGGAAGAGGTTTTCGGTGACAGTGATAAACAAGGGAACAGAGCCTCACAAAGCTTCAAATACTGTTCTAAAAGTGTATTTAAAAGTTTATAATCGTTTATGAAGTCAGATGGGTTATAAAATATTTAAGAGCACAATGAACAAAACTCACCTTTCAGTGAGCTGAAGACTGACCTTAATGGGCATGCCTTCAGTTTGTGATATCATTATGGGGTGTGGTTTTTGCTGGCAGACTACCATATTGGAAGGACAACTGATTGTTTCAATACTGGGGCCTGTTGTAACAAGGATGGAGGTCCCCTGCGCAGCCTATAAAACGAGCTCAGAACAGATTGTTTATGCAGTCAATGGCAGATGCTATCACTATTCCAACAACAGGAAAGTCCTGGTTGTTAAGGTAAATGCTGAGAATGGACTTTAATAGTATAATTGAATGAAAACCATTGTAAATGTAGTTAACAGGCTTTAGAATAATTTTGAGATTTTACTGATGTTAATGTTATTGATTTCCAAATATCATGGTTGATATGATAAAGTTATTCTTCACATCAAGGGTCTGAGGAGTATAACAGAATATAATTAATTTTCCTTCTACATTCTTACCACATAACAAGTAGAACATAAAATATTTTTCAGAAATTGGTCAAAAAGTTGTATCTGTAAAAGTAACTATATTCCATGTATCCTGTCTGTTGCTCTATTGGAATTAATCTGTATGAGTTGACAGGTTGAGCCTAGGTGCAAACTTTAACACTGTTATCCATTGATCCCTGATGAAAACTGTCTGTTTGTATGGGTCAGTTTCAAATCTGCAGCACAGTTTATGAGCCAGGAATGTGTGCTTGAGGAATAGGGGTGCAGAGGCTGGTAAGAAGGCCTACCTCAGTTCTTGGTGACAGCAGCACAGTCCCAATAATGTTTAAAACCTACCTAAATAAAACCACACACTCTCCTTCTGTCAACTCAATGATCTATCCATGTCCCGCCATGTATCCTCAATAGCCATGCAACCAGTATCCACTATGTACAGTCTTCTGATGCCATGCAATGTCAGTATAAACTATTTTATGTTTATTGGGGAAAAACGTAAACTTTCCAAGATCTGATAAAAGTTTCCATTGAACTATGTGTGTGTCATAAAAGGAGAAATTGCATCAAAAAACTCAATCTGCTTTTACGACTGATAATCATTCATTTTAAGATGAATGGAACACCAACTGTGCTGAAACTCATTCACACTTGAAACTCAGTCCAACGTTCATAATGATCACAGCGGTTCAAACAATTGATATTCTCTGAAATGTAAAGACAGCAGGGCTTATTTCATTTTGAAAAGCAGAGTACTTGTCATCAGTGAATTGGACCAATTGATTATATTATTTTGGAATATCTAAAGCACATCTTTTTGAGAAAAAAAACTCAGTTAAATCATCATTCAAAAATGACAACACAGGCTGCAGAAGTTTTTTTTGACAATTCTCACTGCATTATGGTACTTCCTCTTTTGGAAAAGTACAGAAACTCATGTAAACAACTGCACAATGCTAGTCAATGTAAAGGTCAACTTCTGACATAGAAAATGGAACTTAAAATATATTCAGGAATCAGTTGGAAAATTGGAACTTCAAAAAGCAACTGTGTTCCATGTACCCTATCTGTTGCTCTATTAGAATTATATGCAGGACAGATCAATGTAATGAATCATTACAC